AAAGAGATAGTGATCACAAGTATATATACAACAAATACCATTGCACCCAAACAAATATTAACAGGCAGGAAAAATCAAACAAGCACTGATACAGTTGTATAGGGGGATCTCAGTATCCCCACTGTGACAAAATACAGATCAATTAGACAAAAAAATAAGCAGTGAAACGTTAGAATGGAACCAAATTTTTGAACAAATAGACTTGATAGATGTCTACAGAATGTTCCACCCCATGACATCAGAATATACATTCTTCTCAGCTATACATGGGACAGTATCCAAAACAGACCAAATACTAGCTCGTAGAACATGCTTAAGTAAATGCAAAGGAACTGAAATTATGTCATGCATATTATTGAACTATAGTGCAATGAAATTGGAAATCAATGGCAAAAGAAATCACAAGAACTTCATAAATACATGGAAATTAAATTAGCATCCTCCTGAACAACAAATGAATCACAGATGAAATTAAAGAAGAAATTAAAGTTTTTTACAATTGAATGATAATGACAGTTCATCATAACAGAACTTATGGAACACAATGAAATCAGTACTAAGGAAATTTTATAGTAATAAATACCATGTCTGGAAAGCAGAGCAAGTAAAAGTAAACAACTTAATGGTGAACCCCAAACTTTTAGAAAAAGAAGAGCAGGCTAAGCCAAAAGCTCTTAAAAGGGATAAAATGATAAAAATCAGAGCAGAAATTAACACATTGGAGACTAAAAAAACAGTACAAAGAATTAATAGCTCAAAGAGTTGGTTCTTCAAAAGATTAAATAAAATTGACAAACCTTTATTCAATCTTATCAAAAAAGAAAAGATTCAAATCTATACAATTAGGAATGAAAAGGGTGAAATTACAGTGGACCTGGCAGAAATCAAGATCATCTATACCTACTTTGAGAACTTGTATTCTAATAAAATGAAAGAAACAGAAGAAATGGACAGATTCCTAGATACATATGAATTACCAGAGCTAAATGAAGATATAAAAATTCTAAATAAATCTTCATCTCTGATATTGAGCACCTTGCTATGGTGCTCCAATGCCCAAAACCAGAGGCAGCATAAACTTCAGTGGAACTAAAGGCTCAGGTTTTCTGGAATCATCCACCACTGCCATAATTCTACTGCTGGCTTGTGGGAAAAATCAACATAGATCTGGGCTCTGTCTGCCTCCTTTATCAATCAGTGACAGCAGACATGCCCCAAGTGAACATTTTTTCCACTTGCATTTCTTTTCTTTGCATTTTAGTTTTTCCCTATTTTCTCTTTTTCTTGATTATTCTTTTGTACTTATTTTTACATGGGTGAGAACATTGTTTTTACATGTTGTTGTTTTGTCATTGTTTTTGTTTCTTCTTTCTTTCTATCCCTTCACTTGTTTTCAAGTCTTGTATAATCTACTTTTGTCTTCCAGTCTTGCTTTTAGTTACTTTTTCTTCTTCAATTTCTCTGTTTCTTCCCTAACGTCTTTTAAATTTTCTCCTGAGGGTAAAATCACCAGATTGAGGTGATATTTACACAATTTTCTGGTATATTTGAGCTTTGGTTATATATCTATAAATCTTATTCATATGGTTATAGGTGACAAATTAAAAGATACAACAATGTCTCATTTTCCAGGGTGTGTTTGATTCTACTGTTTTTATTGATTGTACTACTTTTCATGTAATTGTTCTAATCAGTTGTTCTTGATACATCGTGACTGAGATTGTCTAGGTTTTTCATAAAATAATACCAAAGGCCAGTGCCAGAGACGGAGGTGCTAGGTGAAATAAACTGAAGGAAGGCTCTTGCAACAGATTCAAAACCCAAAACTCAGCTACAGCTAAAAGATATCTTTCTGAGAAGTAGTCATCTCCTAAGGGCTCTCAATACTAGCAAAAAAGACAACTACCATAAATAATTTACAAACATCAATGCAAAAATTAAATTAAAAACAAAATAGAAAATGGGAAGACATGGAAGCAAGATACAATCCCAGAAATCCGGCTTTCCAAAAGCAAACCCAGGAGATATGGAAGTGGAACAGTTTGAAAGCCACCCACCTGGACTCTGAAATGGTGACAGAGAAAACAAATGAGACTCTAGAAACAAATCAAATTAGAAATAATTCCTCAAATAACTTTAGAGATGATGACCGTAACGAAGAGCACAATTAGTGAATCTAGAGAAGATACAGATTTAAAAAATAGAGAAGCTTATGGAAATGATGCAAATGACGAATCTCCAGCATAGAAAAGAAATGGAATCTATGAACCACACTCAATCAGAGATCCAGAAGATTAATTGGAAGTAAAGGTAACAGAATGAATCAATGTGAGGATATAATATCAGATCTAGAAGACAGGATTTTGGTTATTGATCATGAAAAGAAAGATTTCCTAAAAATAGTAAGGGACCATGAAAAATCAATCCAAAGAGATTATCAACTGCTAGATGATGCAAAGAAGGAAAACTGATCAGAGTCAGTGAAATGCCAGAAGATAACACAAATAACATTTTAAAAAATTCTGTTCACAGAAGTAATGGCAGAAAACTTACCAAACATTCAAAGAAATTCTGACATACAAATATGTGAGATCCATATAACTCTAGCCAAGATAAAAAATATCTACCACAAGGTATATAATAGTCAGGATTCCAGAAATTCAACACAAGAGCAGAATATTAAAAACTGTTAGAAGAAAAAGTATTCATCAGAATTCTAATTAAATTACAATTACAATTAAAAGTTCATCAGAATTACAGCAGTCTTCTCAACACAAACCCTTAAGTCAAAGAGTTTGGAGTAGAATATTTCAAGTCCTGAATGAAAACAACCTCCAACTCAGATTGTTGTATATGCAAAACTATCTTTCAAAATTGATAGGAAAATAAGATACTTTCATGATGAATAAATGCCTGAAGAAATTCATGACCACCAAACCAGCAAAAAATGTTCTGAAGGACATTCTAGAAAGAGATAATGAAGACTACGACTTCATGAGCCCCAAAAGAATGAGACTACTGACAAGATAAGTAATTAAACACAGGGAGAGGAAAGGGAACAGACAACTTGAATATAGAACAATAAGGATAAGTCAATATGTATGAGTTATAATCATGAACATGGATGATATCAAGTCATTAATCAAAATAGACGGTGGGATGGATCAAGAAACAAGATCTAACAATATGCTGCATACAAGAAACATATTTAACTCACAAAGAAATTTATAGACTGAGAATCAGTCTATACTCTATGTGACAGGAGCCCAGAAAAAAGCATGGGTAGCTATTCTATTTGTTAACAAAGTGGATTTCAAGCCAACATTGATCAAGAGAGACAAAGAAGGTCGCAACATCCTCATTGTGGTAGAATGACAACTGGTAGTCATCTTGTAATACTCAGCTGAACTGAATCAGCATGGTGCTGGGTGTGGAAGGTCCACCTGAGGATTGTTGCCAACATAAAAAGGAGAACTGAAGAGGAAGAAGTAGGGGCTACTGGTTCTCCTGGAGAAGTGTGTCACACTGGCTTTGCTGATATGAACTCAGCTGTTCTCATCATCAGAGGATCTTGGGACCTCACTGCTGCTGAGGATGGCTCTGGTACTTTTCAGGTGAACCTGGTCCTTATTTTGAGTGTTGCTTCCTGGCTTCAGTGAAGATCCCTCAGCCTGCTGGCACAGATCCTTTATCCCATTGGCATGGACTTTCTAGCTTCCACCACCAACCTTTGGACCTTCCCAACACAGACCCATGAAATAGACTTGGATGAGACATTGTCATATGCTCCAGGCCTTCATCTGGACCCATGCATGGCATTGCTATGGGATCCAAGTCCCCAATTGGATTTTCGAGTCTTTAGTGTGTGAACAGATTTCCTGCACTCTTTTGTATTTGACTATTTAAAATAATCCTATAAATTTAGTATTCTGTATTAAATTTTTTGCAATTCCTGACTATAACTCTCATAAGAGGAACAATTCAATAGTGAGAGATCACAATTATATATATATATGCCAAATACAAGTGCATCAACTATATGAAACAGATATTGACAGACATGAAAAATCAAATAAATACCAATACAATTGTAAAGGGAGTGCTCAATACTCCACTGTCATAAATAGGTAGATCAACTAGATAAAAGAATCAACAAAGAAATACCAGAACCAAACCAAATTTTTGAACAAATGAACTTAGTAGATGTCTACAGTGTTTCATCCCACATTAGAATGTACATTTTGCTCAGGTGCACATGGAATGTTCTCCAAAATAAAGCATATATAGTTCACAGAATATGGTTAAATAAATGCAAAGGAATTAAAATTATTTCAAGCATATTATCTGAACAAAGTGAATGAAATTGGAAATCAATAGCAAAAGAAACAATAGAAACTTCATAAACATATGAAAATTAAATAACACCCTCCCTAATAACCAATAAGTCTCAAGGCAATTAAGAAACCAGACAATTCTACAAATAAACATTAATGCCAGTACAGCATAGTGGATCTTATGGGATGCAATGAAAGCAGTCCTATAAGAAAAATCTGTAGTGGTAAAGTTCTGCATCAATGAAACAGAACAAGCTCAAATAAATAACAGAATAAGCTCTTTCAGATTATTATTTTAGAAAATCACTTAGCAGGACCAATAGAAAATACGTTATATAGTCAAGCTCAGGCTATTCAGAGAGGTTGTGTCTGGATTAACATCAATTTGCTACTAACAAATCACTATACTTTCTCCATTTTGTAGCATTTTTCCTATATTTGCAAGGAGGTATCTAGAGATAAATGCATATGTAAATAATGTGGATTCACTAAGCCTACAGGAGGTCACTATATGTTCTTTTATCATAAGAGATCAATTTGGTGGCCAAACATCCCAAATGTGTTCTGAGTCAGTGTATTAGAGATGACCTGAGAGACTATATCCCAAATCATTTTTCATCCACACTTTTACCTTGTTAATTTAGAGGAAATAATGTTATTACTTACCATTGCCCAGTTCCCAAGAAATGTTGTACTTTTTGCTGGCACTGTACTTCAATAGACTCAGAGCACTAGAACTGTTCCAGGAGTTATTGGGATTACGTCGCAGTGCATTTAGAGCAAATATCAAGTGGAGTCCAGAGCAATCGGCAAAGTTATAAAGTTTATCTAGAGACCTGGCTGGGAAGAAGCAGAGAAAGGCTTGTAACTTTTAAATCAACATTACAGGAAGGAGAAAATATTAGCTACAATAAAAATATCTCCCTGTGAACTTTCTAACAAAGAATCACACAATTAGATTTCAAAGAGAGATTATCGTTTGGTCTGAGATGCATTTCAAGGTAATTTTAGAAAGCACACATAAGGAGTTGGAGGTATAGCTCATTGTAATATGCTTTCCTAGCAGGCACAAAGCATGGTATTTGATCCCTAACATACGTTACTTTTTTTAAAAAAAAGGTAGTATGCAGAATTCCAGAGAAATGTTGCAAATTGGTGAAAGTATCACACCTACAGTGCAATTTATTCATTAACAAGAGTTAACTACTGATGTTTAGTAGGCCAAGACTCCACAGAGTAGTTGGATTTCTAACTTTTCTGGAAAAAATGGCAAGATCTGAGACTGTTGGTCTATTTTCTTGCACAACACAACAGAAATAGTGTTAAGGTACAAAGTCAAGAAAGACAACTGACAAGTGAGTCTAAGAAAATAAGTCAGCCTACCGGGACTTCCAAAATATATCACTGGAGTGCTCAATTCAAATATTCTTGAGAATGGAAATACCATAACTATCACTAAGAATCTGCTCATTGTTGGGTTGGTCAGAGATATCATTAACCCTAAAATCATGTTTCTCCCACCATCCCATTTTTTTCATTTCTGTTGCCACCATTCTTGTCTGCATCTCATTTCCACTTACGTAAATCATTATAAATCTGCACTTGTATATCTACTGCCAAATTCCAATCCTTCAATTTATTTTCTCTTACTCAGTCTTATCACCTACATTCCTTCTTCAAAATCTTAAGGGATTTTCAAGGCCATTTTATTCCTTAATTCCTTAAGGCATCTACAATGCACCCATACCCCACTCCCAACTTTAGGCCTATTTCCTCAGAGTGCTTTATTTGTGTCAGTTCTATTGACTATAGAACTTTCTGCCTCACTGAACTTTGTCCTAATTTGTTTCATGTGGTGTACCCATATTCCTATTTTAAACATGTCCATGCTTTATTTGTCCTTTTAGGTAATGTTATCCTCTTGGATAATGCTGAGGTGATACATAGTTGTAAATGTTATAATTATTAATATGCTTATGTACCAAGGTCACATTATCCATGTCCCTAGAGCAGAATTTCTCAAATGGGATTCTGTGATACAATCATAGTGGTCACTCAAAGTTTTGCAAAACATGATGCAGCATGACAAAAGGTGCCTCATGAGCAATTTTTAATAGATCTTTAGTACTTTAAAGTAGAATGATAATAATTAAATTTAAAATATTATCAGTTTTTGAAGTGACATATAGCAAAGTTGCCATTTTCACTTTCTTACATGTGTGTAAAATAATCTTTTAAGAAGCAACAAGAAAAAGAAAAGCAATGATCTCATTTTGATTGAAAATAAAATCCATGTGACTGTCCCACATTCTACCCAGAATTACATTAGGCAAAAAGAGGGCACACATTTTATATTAAAGAGATAAACTTATTTAAATTCCAAATAACAAAATTGATATTAATTTATAGGCATACTAAGGTGATCATAAAATGAACACATGAATATAATAATGATTATGTATATGCCACTCAGTAAGAAATGACTTTTTAAAAAATCTCCTGTAAATCATATCTTAGGCTACAATTTCATTAATATTGCTTTGCTCTATAGTCTTAGTGAATTTATATTTGACAGCATTAATACATTTTAATGTATAGAACATTAACTAAATACATAATCTTTTTAAAATTATACCAAAAAAGTTTACCTTTAGAAAATTATATCTGATTTTGACTGAAACAAGTTAGTTGACAAAAACTCATTGTATTGGCCAGGGATTTGGCTCAGTGGGGTAAGCTCATTCCTGGCAAGCACGAGCTTGTGAGTTCAATCCCCGGTACCAAAAATAAATAAATAAAATAAAATAAACTGTCCAAATTCATGACCAGTGACAAAATAATGTTAATTTTAAGAAAGTTAAGTACTTTTTTTTCTCTGCAAGAATGGTTGCCCAAAAGTTGTTTTTAGTTTTAAATAGAAGTGAGATAGGAGATTAGGGTGTGGCTGTAGGGGAAGTAGGTATGATCCCAGAACCCATGTACAGGACAGTCCCACATCCCTGTGCATGAACTTCTTGCAAGAATTTGAGCAAGTTTTCAATAGGATAGCCTGGAGCTGATGTCAACTTGAGGTGTGAGATCCCAGAACTGCCTCTCAGGACCCACAGACATTCTCATGGGTTACCTTGAGATTTAGAGAACATAGGAGGACACAGACACCAAGAAGAGCTTGTTATCATGGCCTCCTCATCATAGCTCATCCTGTATCTTCCAGGGTGTACTTCTGTCTTTTGTGAAACTCTTTTATCTGGGCCAAGTTCACTCTGCAGAGCCAGTTTCTCCCTTACTTGTTACTTTTACTTTTTAAATGAACTTTACCACTGCTTTTTGCTTCTTCCTTTCTTTCTTTTCCTTCTTTCTTTCTTTTCTTTGTTTGAGACATGAAGAACCTGGGATATAATTTTAGAAGGAGAGACAAGCTCAAAAGTTGGTAACACTTCTTTTTTTAAAGACAGGATTTCGCTGTGTAGCCCAGACTGGCCTTGTATACACAGTGACTCTCCTGACTCAGCCTCTTGAGTGCTGGGATTACAGGTGTGTGTCTGGATTCAGTAATGTTTATTTATTTGGCAAGCCACTTTTAAAAGGAGCTACTCAATTACATTTTAGTGTAGCCAGCCAAGACCAAAACTCAGACACTGGAGAGCAACATAAGGCCTATGCTGTGAAAAAATCAATATTATTACTTTAGCATTGCTTCCTGGCTCCACAGGGTAAGATGGTATGTTGTTCAGTCTCCTGGAGAAGCCCGACATGCTACCTTCCTGATACGAACTTGGCTGTTTTCATCATGGGAGGAGCTCAGGACCTGGATGTTCCTGAGGATAGCTGTGGTACTTTTCCGGGGAGCGCTAGTCCTTACTTTGAGCATTACTTCCAGATCTTTCATCCCACTGGTGTAGACTTTCTAGCTTCCACCAGTGACTTTTTGGCCTTCTCAATGCAGATCTGTGAAACAGACTTGCATGAGACATTGTCATGCCCTCCGCTGGATTCTTTGGGTCTTCAGTATGTGGACAGATTTCTTGCATTCTTTGACTCTTTGGGTGACTATTATAAAATAATACTATAATTTATGTGTCCTGAATTAAATTGCGATGGAAATGGAAGGGTTCCTCTCAAGTGATTCTTGCCATACTCACTGCAGTGAAGATGACAGTGAAAGATAATTGGATTCATCTTTGTAGAATAAAGCTAGTCCCATGTGAGCTGTCTGAAAAACAAGATTCTCTGAAGGGAGAAATCCAATCCTGTGAGCCTATGGAAGACTTGGGAATTCTCTTCAAAAATCAAGATTTCAGTGCTGCTACAAGAAGCATGGAAATCTGACCTGCTTTTCTTATTTGGGTCAATACTTATTTTTCATTGTCATTTTGACTTTGGGGAAGAGCCAGAAAATGCACAATGCCAGATCTGGTGAATATGGTGGATGAAGACACAGCTTAATATTTTTACAGGTCTGCATTTCTGTTCGAAGTCACTCAGCAGAAGCAATCTCTATTTCTTTTTTTGATCATACCTCATAAAAAAATCCAGAAAAGTGAAAGTCCAGAATTACTTTAGAAAGTAGCAAGAACAATGGGATAAATATCTTTAGAACAGGGGGAATATTTTGAGGGAGATTAATGGCAAGTTGTTCTTTTTCCATAATAAATTTCCACCTTAAAAATTGACAGTCATCTTTAAATTATTATTCTATAAAAATTATGGAACCAAAAAATATTCCTCTGGGAATTAAGCTGCACATTTCTCAGTACTTCTGACTTCAAATTTTGCTTACTGAGTTTATCAAAATGAGGTTTTAAAGCTTCTTCATAATTCAATAGTTAACATATCATCTCTAGTATTTACCCTATTTCATATAAGCCCATCTCCATTACATACTTTTTTCTTGTTAGATGTTAGATTGTGGGGGGCGGGGTGAGTATAGGGTGGTGTTAGGTAGCAGTTGACATCAAAATATCGAGGCTCTACATTTTGTTGTTCATATGGCTTGATAGTCTGTCAAATTTTTATGTGTTCACTATTAGAATGAGTGAGCACTATTGGAAGCATTTCTATTTTAGGAATCATTATTGATATTTACTAGTGCTGGGAACAATCTTCTTGGATTTCTGAGTTCTCTGCTTTTTTTCCCACATATCTTTCTACCTTTTGTCTTTCAGAAGTATCAAGAAATTTAGAAGAAATTCAGAACATCAATCACAAGAGATCTTTAGACACATAGAAAAATGCACTCTCTCTCTCCATGTAAAGTTTTCAAGAGAAAAAATAGTCACATAGGTGTATTAAATTCCTTTTAATCAATTAAAATATAACAAAATTGAACTGAGTATGTAAAACAAATTAAGGTTTCTGTGTAATACATACTTTCTCTTGGCCCAAAGAATCTCTCAAACTCTATAGTCTAATGAAATTTAGGGGATGTTGGAACTCCATATAACTTTTTGACAAATCACATTATTCCATGACTCTATGTTATTATAAGTTTCTATTTTTGTGTGGAATATCTTTTCCCCTCTTTTTGTATTTTGCATAGCCTAGATCAGTGTTCTTCTCTGATTCTCCAAGAGAATGACCGGTGGTTCTCTCCTCTTGTCTGCTTGAGATCTTTATCTGTTTCTATTACAGCAACTGCCAATCATGCCATCATAGCTCAGTTCTGGCTTTCTCTCTGAAGGCAAACTTTAATATTTGCCAAAAGCAAAGGCACCATGTTTGCCTTTTTAAAAGCATAGAATTCAATGTCTAGTACAATACATTTTAAGAAATATGTGATCCACACAAGTGCTATTTAGGTCCATTCAATGTCAGTTGCATTTGTCTGAACACTAATTATC